CCCCACCACCACCACCACCACTGCACGAATGTATTTATAACTAGTTGGTGCTTGTACGATTTGAAATCTGACATATTTTTTTAATAACTTTACAATCATATTATATAAAAAATACACATCCAGCTATGATTGAAGGATTGGACAACAGAACTAGAATCCCATACTAAGTCCATCCATCTAACACTAAAATACGCCATCTTACGGACTACAAACTGGACAACGTAATACTGATTTTACAGGCAAAACATTTTTTCTTTCTTTCTAGTTCATTCTTAAGGTCGGCGTTGTTAATAGTGCATGCCCTGTATTCATCCTGAGGAGCCCTTCTTGACTCTCCCCTCTAATTAAACACTTCAAACAGGAAATAGAACTAATAAGTAATAGATATATCAATATCGAAACAGTATTTATTCCAGATCACGTCTTTTAATAAATTGTAACCGTGATATCTTTCGAATATCCATATTGAAAATTGGATACTATCCAGCTTTTGCATGACCGATGCGAAACAACTATTTTGGTACCGCATCAAAACATCACAGTCGGCTTAATTTCATTAATGACACTGATCTCTCTTTGAGAAATGTTCCATGGGGAAATCACGATATAGAGATGCGGACAGGCAAATATCATTTCCGTATAGAAAGTATTGCCACAGAATAAGAAGTATATTCTTAATCTGTGGTATTGCATGCGTAGTCGTTATATATAGCAAAAGTTCTCCCTGCAATCAAAAGGCCAATTTAAGGCGGTTTTACACTACACAACGTTTGGGCTAAAACTGTCGCATGCAACGTGCTTACAACTTGAGTTGTACTGTGCAAATCAAGCACACAACTCATCTCTACGACAACTTGGGCGACTTGTGTGCTTGATTTACACAGTGCAACTCAAACTCAAAATATATAACTGGACTGATTTATATATCGAGACAAACGCTATCAAAAAACTATGATTGAGAATTAAAAAAATCGAATAAAAAAGAATTCAAAATTCAAAATTTTATGTGTTACAAAAATTTAGCTATGGCAACAAGTCTTGTAGATTTGAAACAAATACTTTTTGGTCTTAGATATAACTAATAATTCTTATTCATGATGCTATAGTCTATATAGAGTAATGTATAAACGTTCAGTAAGTTACATCGATGATGGTCATGACCATGTTAGCCTGCTCAGCAGCTCCCCCCCCCCCCGAAAATTTGAAGCGGAAATTATTTCCTTTAAACAAAATTTCGAGCTGCGAGAAGGCTAGACCACATCAGCGATAGCATCATGCTGTATATTAATAGAATAAACCCATACAAGCTTTCTTATTTATATCAATATTCCTGTGACCACCAATATATAAAAAACTATACATTTACTCACACTCAAAGAGTGGAGGTTCAATCTGAGCTTCTCTTGAGTGTCAATGCTGTTTTTGAATAGCTGAAGGTTAGTGTCGTAACTATACTATACTATACTATACGACTACTCGCCCTCCAGCTATTCAGTCAGAAACAGCACTGACACTCAAGGGAAGCTCAGATTGAACCTTGACTCTTTGAGTGTGAGTGAGCTTTTAGAATACAGGCGGAAGACGCTATATTTAGCAATCGCGGGACAGTGTTTTATTTGCTTGTGGAAAAAAAACATCGCTATATAAAAATTATTATTGTTTCCCCAGTTATTAATCTATTGTTTTTCCCAGTTATTAGTCTATTGTTTTCCCAGTTATTCAAAAATGTTCCTTATTTTTGTTACTATAAATATATAATTTGTTTTTTTTTCGTGGTAAACATCGCATATATATATTCCGCAAAGCCCGGATCTTCGTCAACGTAATGTTGTTTTCAGTGCAAATAATATCATCATAACATCATTTTTATTATTTTCGTGAAGCACACCTGTCGATAACAAATGCTAAAGTTTCTTGATAAAGTTTCTATAGTCCCTATAGATAATAATATAATGGCCAACACATTATTATCATATGCACGTCATTAATTGCATTTTACGGACTGCGTCAGTTAGATATAAACTAGAAGTTACTATCGCAAGGAAAGTGCTGCCTCACCCCCAAGGGATGTCACCAACGCAATTTGCAGAATAAGGGGCTGTTTATACGATCCCACTTTGCCGAGATATAAGGCAGGATGATTTCAATGTATTGAAATAAGTCACAGTGCACAATTCGGCAAAAAATATTTTCTAGAGATAGATTATATAGTTAACTGTAAACGAAAGGTTGTTCAAGCAGCAATAATAATCTTCTTGAACTACAATATATATGTACGTCATTAATTGCATTTTACGGACTGCTTCAGCTAGATATAGATAAAATATAGATATTTACATAGATAGGTTCATTAAAGATTATACGCAGCTGGCTGAATTACGTAATATACAAATTTAATTATTCTATGTAATACCATTATATCAATAAAAATTATGATATATATATTATAATATAAAAAGTAATATATGCATGATATTACAGTACGTATAATAAAAAAATATAAAAATACCACCTGCGCTTATACATAAGGAAAAATATAGCAATAATATTGACAACTTCATATTAATATTTGAATTGATGTAGAACCTTAGATTGATAAGAACCTTTCGAAAAGCAAGCATATATAGAGAGCTAAACTCTGCTAAAGTAGTGTTCAATCGTCACCTTAAGTTTCTGCCTTCATATATACATAAATACACACATGCATGCATAGACTATCAGCTGGTTTCTATGAGGGGCGTGTAAATAAGTGGAAATTTACAATAGAAAACATGATAGGAACATTATAATCAAGGGTGCTCTCACACATGCAACAAGAAGACAAAAGATGGCATCAACTCATCGTTTGTTTCAGAATCATTGAGCTTATGACATTAAACTATTTCAATCTAACGTGCAGTTAACATGCACACAATTTACGCCAATTGTATAACTATATTGTATATGAATATTGATATATTTGCTGTAACATCTGTATACCCGGCCCAATATTTCATATTTTAAATAAATGTTGTTCATCTACACTAACCAGATGATCTTGATACGCGGAAAAGTACTGGCACTAGTTGTCAAATAGAAATCCATCTTATGATTAAAACAACTGAATATCTCCTGTAATATACTTTATTTCGATTCCATATTTTTGTCAGAGCTATAGTTCTCATAACCAAACATAATTACAAAATTTCAACTAGTTTCATAAAGAATAACGAAAGATATAATTGACTGAATACATCAAAATGGATTTCTATTCGGACAACCCTTTCTGAGCGCTGATTGGCTAAATTACGAACACGAGATCACCTGGAATTAATCGTTAAACCTAGTCCTAAATATTCAAAAAATTCGAATAATAATGATTCCTCTCGGATGACTAACAGGCTGTAGACTGTAGTGGCGGCAACCTAGCTTTTGAGGTTAAAAAAATACATCTCCGGCTCTGCTCTATCTATAGGATATCTTTTTGTTCGCATATACATGCACTTTGTCGTACACGAAAGACGCAAAAATAACGTGGAAGAGTATTTGGAACTATCATCTTATTGTTTCTTACATTATTACACGGTATAAATAATTTCAGTTTTCGCTTATTTGGCTGCGACTGTTTGCGACGTTTTCGTACTCAGTACATTCGCAAACGTCATGCGCGCAAATTTTATCGTTTCTATTCGATTGGAGACGCCGATGGTCTGGGAGAAAATAAATATCGAGTAATGACCCAACAAACGAACGGTACCATGCAATTTCTCCTTTTCTCCATAGCATATTGCAGTATTTGATACTCAAATAAATGTAAATGTTTAAATCCTACCCGATCAGCAGCAAACCTGATTCCTCGTAATCCAATGTTGAATTCCAATATCCAAGACGAACCGTTCCTGCAAAGAATGAATAAGATACGAGAGTGTTGTTACTGTTTTCTCTACAGAGGTCCAGTAAAAACCATTCCGTATTGCCTCAGTGTTACAATACAGGAGGAAATCTGTAATAACCTTAACTAACTTTATACTACATGGATAGCTGCATCAGTTCCAAACTCTTGGCCCTAAAGGTCGAGCAAGGGCCATGCCTTACTGTTTCAGTGTTACTACAAGCGTAAACATAAACTAAAGTAACTTTATTTATATACACTGGATAGCTCTATTAGGTCTAAACTGAGAGGTCAATCAAATCCAGAGGTCTAGTAAGGGCTCGACATCGCAAACCAGACTCTATACCTCCACATGCTGCCTGGGTTGCAAGGTTGTTAAGGCAAGGTCCCCACCTTTTAGTGAAGATGTAATTCAAGGACTTTTCCAGGACTTTCAAGGACCTTTTTCAGTATATTCAGGGACCTGGCAACTGGAAAAATCTTTAAAAATCATCTAACTTTTATCCTTAAACTTAAGAAAAAAAATGACATCGAAACAACTTTTGGACAATTGTTATACATAATTTTAATTGAAATTGAAGAAAATAAACATTTGGGCAATAATCCTTGGGCTGGTAATAATTCTTCAATTATTTCCAGCCTACTGAAAAAAAATTCCAGGACTTTCAAGAACCTTATCACTTTCCAAGGACTTTCCAGGCCTGGATTTTTTTTAACAAATTCAAGGACTTTCCAGGATTTTCAAGGACCGTGGGGACCCTGTTAAGGCTACCCTTACTGCTTCAGTGTTACAAAGACGGAAACCGCAGTTCCCAAAGAAAATTTGTGCTGTGGGGTAGAGCCAATTCAGTTCACGCTATTTATGTTTCATATTATTCTGACTCTGCAATAGACCAACAAAAAAATCGTTGGCTCGAGCGGGATTTGAACTCGCATCTTCGGGTATCTAGACCGCCGCTCCACCCATTGAGCTATCGAGTCAACAGGGATTGGTAGCGAGTCTTATCCAATTTAAGTGCACGAAATATTTTCGTGACGACTTAACGCTTGTATTTCTGAGGATAGTTCTGAAATAGAATTGAAACACTGCGCGTCCTCTAAGACAAGCGTTAAGTCGTTAAGACTCGCTGACAATCCCCGTTGACTCGATAGCTCAATGGGTAGAGCGGCGGTCTAGATACACGAAGATGCGAGTTCAAATCCCGCTCGAGCCAACGAATTTTTCGTTGGTCGATTGCAGAGTCAGAATAATATGAAACTGATTTTTCGTATCTCTATTTATGTTTTGTAATATCTCTTTACCACTGTCTTCGCTTCACAGTACCTTGGCTATCGTGGTTTCAATTGTATAATAAGCAAGCCTAATTATTGGGCGTTTCCTTTATAATAGTCCATGAATTGTCTTGAGAAAGTTTTTCATTTGGAGGGCCAAGAATTGCGATAGAACTCATCCGTTGAGAGTCAGACAAATATCTAGCAGCAACATCGACCAGAGCATCACGGTCCACAGCAAACAGACGATCACGATGTATTTGACGCATTTCATCCGTGATTCCTTGCTTGAATAATGCCATGCCTTTGTAGGGAGGAGGAACTGGGCTATCTACCTGCAATAATAGGAAGACATTAGTTTGTTTAAAGACCCACAGCGTCCGTGTTAGAGAAATGTCTGTATTAGAGAGGTGTCCGTATTAGAGAGATGTCTGCATTAGAGAGGTGTCTGTGTTAGAGAAGTGTCTGTATTAGAGATATGTCTGTATTAGAGAGATGTCTGTATTAGAGAGATGTCTGTATTACAGAGGTGACTGTGTTAGAGAGATGTCTGTATTAGAGAGATGTCTGTATTAGAGAGGTGTCTGTATTAGAAAGATGTCTGTATTAGAGAGTGTCTGTATTAGAGAGGTGTCTGTATTAGAGAGATGTCTGTATTAGAGAGTGTCTGTATTAGAGAGGTGTCTGTATTAGAGAGTGTCTGTATTAGAGAGATGTCTGTATTAGAGAGATGTCTGTATTACAGAGGTGTGTGTATTAGAGAGGTGTCTGTATTAGAGAGATGTCTGTATTAGAGAGGTGTCTGTATTAGAGAGATGTCTGTATTAGAGAAGTGTCGGTTGGAGAGATTCGGCTGTATATACTTACTTGTGAAAAAACAGACAGTTTTGCTTCAACTATATCCTGGTCAGTAAACTCTCCAGAGCTGGCCCAAGTTGCTGATCGATCAAAGGCATCCAATGTTTCAAACGAATTTGGATCTCTACAAAGATAGGAACAAACTTATCAATGAGTACCATTCCATTTACCCATTGATCCTCATCTCGTTTAAATCAAAGGCGATATCTTAGAGTGATGGTAAATAGCAACCTAAAATAACCATGATCTGTGATTGGCTTCATAAAACAATAGCGATCAGCGTTTATGACTCGTTCTTTAGAAAGATAATTTCTATAGTTCATTGTCTTCTATTGTTATGACTCATTCTTTAGAAAGATAATTTCTATAGTTCATTCTCTTCTATTGTTATCATCAACCAATCACAAAGCCCGTTCATATAGATTGGTGACGAGTCTAGAGCCACCATACACCCAGATACATGAAATACAAACAATCATATTTTTACCTGTACGAGAAAAATGAAAAGACATTTCCGCCAACCTTAGCGCCAGATCCATACGCCCCACCTTTTTCTCTGTAATAAAACATTCCATATACATGAGTACATACAGGCCTAGAATAAAATACAATGACTATAATGGACAAAATAGTATAAAAGCATAACCGACCTTATTTCCCTGTGTAAAAATTTAGAAGACAACAACCGCGAAAGAATCTGTAACCTAGGGGAAGAAATTTAGACAATCATGTAGATTATGCTGGTTATCCAACATAACTCGTCCACTTTTGCCCAAATTTATTCTCCCTTTACCCTGGTTGCCAGAGGTTCTTGTATCTTCCGCCCTATTCTCGCTCGTATTTACACGGCGACACAAGCACCTCTGGAACCAAGGTATTCTCCTTTCCGATCTAGTAGTAAGGCTCGTCTCTTATTATTCTATTATAACTACCATGACGGAACAGGGGGTACCCCAGGAACACCTGCGATGTTTAGTAGAGTCAAAGTGGAATCACTCTTCTCACATCTATAGTAAAATTATAATCAGCAAGGATCAAAACTTTTTGGCGAGGTGAATCAATACAAGTCATAAATATTTTCTGAAACCAGTAATCGAGACTTACTTTGGATAGTCTTCATGGCAGAAAGGTACAGCACGAATAGCCTTGGCAACAAAGTTAACTGGAGCGGGAATTTCGAAGAAACTTTTCACATGATGTGGCATAAAGTTCGGGTCCTAAAACCATAATGAACAATAATTCATCTAATCACCTAACGTATGTTTGTAAGCCCGTTGCCACCCAAGGAAAAGAAAGCTTCTACGAACCTCAACTTCAGCAGGTAAATCTGCCCGCGTGCCAGGTAAGTCTTCAAGGAAACCTTCCAGGGAATCTGTGGCTTCATCAGCTGCTTCCTCAGTCATTGTTAAAGCACATCTGTGGAATAGTTTGAATGGCGTTAAACGACTACTACCAAATGACCCTGTCACCCACTCCTTTTTGCAATCCGTGGCCCAGTTGCCAGCGCATAACAAAAATAAAACATTAACAAAGCTAGCTAGCTCCGCCAATGACATGGGTGTATCCCTCAACACACAAAGGTCTGTACACGGTTAACCGACTCACAAAATAACTTACCGACATGTGACAATTGGCTTTAACTTTAGCTGGAAACTATAGCATTCAAAGAGGATATAAGTTTTACCTGAACGCAGTATTTTCCAAAACATGGGCTGCTATTTTAATCATTTTATTTGTAACATCCTCTAAATCTTCTAGCTCTGCGATGTTTTTCATAAACTCTACCTAAAGTAACAAAACATTTATTTACTTAGCTTATTTATTTATTTATTATGCTTTGCCAATTTCACACAATCTGTACAAATACAAACACAAGAATATACAACCTATCAATCATGGCAGGGTATATGCTACAGCTTACGCCAATTACAGCAGCCCTTTACAAAACGAACATGACACATTCTATATTAGATCTTCAGTAATATAAAAATGCCAGTTTGTACCCAAGAAAACCCTCCGCAGGATAGAAACGGAAAGGAAAGTTACATAGTGCTAAATTCTGATAAGCTTCATCTGGGAGGGCCAGTTCTATCAGCTTTCAACTGTTCTTCCAACTGTTTATCCGTACTACTAATTTATTTTTATTTATTTATTTATTTATTTATTTACGAGCTTTGTCATAAATGACTGGTGATCCCTACAGGGCTTGTTGCCCCATTCAAAGGGTCCCTTAGGCCCGTTTCATACGCCGTACTTCACATGTGCCGAATACATTAAAGACAATAGGTAATGAGCTGAAATGCCTCATTATCTGTTGTTTTTAATGTGTTCGGTACATGTGAAGTACGGCGTATGAAACGGGCCTTACTCATTCGTCAGGGTCCCTTAATCGCGAGGAAAGCGAAGTATTCAGAGAAAATTTGCGGTGTTTGGTACAGTAAAACTAAATTCACTATATGTTCAAACAAATGCATACGATTTTAAGACCAGAATTGAAATGTCATATGCATACGATACTGTAACATACAATACCTGATTAAGACCTCCTAGTATTTCACCGAGCCGAGCAGAAGGTGTGAGAGAACTGGACGCTAATCCCACAGCATACATATGACCAGAATCAACGATTGACATTGCAAGATCAGAAGCAAGACCATTCACTAATGTTCGTATACGTTCAGTGTTGTTCAGTGTAGGGCTACAACGTATAAAGGTTGAGTTCATTGTAATTGTAAAATTTATTTAAACACGGTAAAATCTTCAGTATATAGATACTCTAACAAACATATATAGAGTAACAAAAAAAAACTCTACTGCTGGTTTACAAGATTGCCGTGTGGGAGTTCGTTTAAATTATATTATAGTACTCATTTATAGCTTTCTTAATTAAACTGTGATATCGATTGGAGCTTTCGTATATCTTGAGGAAAACTATTCCACAATGGCGCCCCACTAAAACAAAAGCTTCGCTTTTAATAAACAGCTTGTTCGTGGCTTGGGCAGATTCAATGTCATTTCGAAATTCCTTAAATTGTACCCTGTGTCGCGAATTGAAAAGAAATCTTGTAAATATTTAAAGGCGTATTTCCTTTCAATATTTTAAAAATTAGACCAGCGTAAATATCAGGATATCTTACTCGACTAAAGGCCCTGTCACACTATGATTGCGTATCGTACTAGTGTTATGCCAGTGTATGAAAAATATACACTGGTATACGCTGACATACGCTAGGGGTACGTTAGGCATAGGTTGTATACGTTTCAAGCACGGTCGCATACGGTGGCATATTTCTTAATTTTTATACGCTTCTCATACGTTTCTCTCAAAGTGTGACGCTTTTAACAATAAATAAATAAATCATACTGTATATTGTTAAATCTATGTTAAGACGGGCCTTAATGTTGAAAGATTTTGCAGATGAAGATTTCGACCGAGAGCAGCTGGAAAAAATGCAACAATAGGTCCCCTGGCAGGAATGTAACTAAATTTAGAGGGTCTATAGTTGCAATATCCTTCAACATGAATCATTCAACAAAATGGTTTAATAATTTCAGGTGCTAATTCAGACACAATCCATTATACCTGTCAGGCGCTAATTCTGACACAATCCATTATACGTTTTAGGGGGAGTTACTATTTTTAGACTTTTGTAATTTTGTATTTTAAACTTAACCCTAAACCTTACCCAGCCCTATCCCTTACTCCAATCCTAACCCTAATCTTAATCCTTTCCTTAATCCAAACCTTAATCCTAACCCTAAAAGTCTAAAAATAGTCACCCCTCCTAAAACGTGACTCATATGCAATCCATGGCAGCTTATCGTAGATTAAATTCCCTAAATTGGACTCCCATGTTTGAGAAAATAAAAATTATTGCTCACCTTGTAAAGACCTCTAGCCAAATATTGAACATACGAGGAAGGTTTTCATCCAGACAATACGATGAAAATAAAACACCCTAAATAATTTTTCGTAAATTGTGAGCAAAGAACTACATATAACTGTGAAAATCCAATTATACTGTAAGCCTTGAGCCCTGGTCAAACGCTTGGTTAAACGAAGATGAGAGTTGATCAACTCTCATAAACTCTCATTGACGTTGAACTGGTTCAAAGATGAGAATTTTTTTGATGAGAATTTTCGCTACGCGCGCGGTAATATCCAAACTCACGCTTCTCAACTCTCATTCGCATGGGCGTACCGACGCCAAAAATATAGGGGGCGTAACATAAAATGCCCAACTTTCCAACTTTAATGGAAATTTCCCGACATTAATTGTGATCTCCTCCCTGTGATCTCCTCCCTGTTGAAATTTAGAATTGTCTCAGATGCAAATTACGTTATAGTATGTTCTATGTGCACTATGAATAAGTTTTGCTCCTGTCTTTGTGGACGTTTCCTCCACTAACATACAAAAATGACCAACTCCCGAGTAGAATTTGCCCGACTTTACAAATTTCTGTCAAAGCCACCCCCTCGCCCCCCCAGGTACGCCCATACCCATTGCCGATTGACCAGAGCTTTGTGGAAAGAATCGTGCGATTCCAGTTGTTTGGGAATATACCTGACTGTAGGTGCTAGCCTCAGTATGGTGAGACACAACATGAGGTGAAACAGAAAGACCTCCGGTCCTTCGTTTGATTATCTGAGCCATGTGACGATGGTCCATACTGCCTGCACCCATTCTGTGAGAAAAAATACACGGCGGTGGTGAGTGCATGTTCCCTACACCTCTGTGAATGAGGTTCAATCCCTACAATATGCAGTTGTCGGATTATTATTTCGTCGTGTACGAGGAGAATACTTTGACTCTACAACGCACCTTTCCTACAGGGACCGGTTGTTCGAAAGCCAACTTAACCCCAGCTAGGTTGACCTAAAACTCAAATCAAATTTCCTAACAGCTTGTTTGTAACCTGGAAATCCTCAAGTGTAAGAAGTTTCAGCCTGGAGATCCTCAAGTGTAAGAAGTTTCAGCTTGTAAATCCTCAAGAATAAAAAGTTTCAGCTTGTAAATCCTTAAGTCTAAGAAGTTTCAGCCTCAAATCCTCAAAGTCAAATGCAAGACGTTTCAGCCTGAAAATCCAAATTTGGAAACATTTCTTCAGAAATTTTGTGTGGATCAGTAGGAATTTTCTTCTCTGAAGTTTTGAAATAAACAGACGTGTAGAAATACATAAACTAAAACAGCAGGTTAAATTTTAACAGAAAGTGTAATTCACCTTTGAACAACCGGACCCAGGTATACTTGGGTTTCTACACATAGTACCACTGGAACATGCCATGAGTCTACTAAAGAATAACACTTACAAGACATCCAGGTAGAACAGTTTAGGACTGTGCTATCTAGTATATGTTAGTCACAGCTTGTTTAGATCAGATACATTAATGACACTCACTTTGTTATCACGTGACAAAATAGTGGCAAATAGGGCTTAACTTCATCAGCAACCAGAGTAATACTTGATATTCCATTGAAGTATGTTAAACCATTTGTCGGCTGAACGCAATAATTCACTGGTACGCCACCTAAAGCACGAGAAAGTACCGGGTGGCCCAAAAAAAAGTACTCCTGTTTGATTCGTAATAACTTCTAAACAAGTAAAGTTTTTAAAGAGAAATAACTTGCATTAAATAGAGGAAGGACTAACTTAGATTTTGATATATTACAGTTGTATTTAACTTAAAAATTCACGGATATATTAATGTTAAAAATGGGGAGCATATTTTGGAATGTGTCTAAAATTAGCGAAAATCGGCATATCAAATATTAACTCCAGCGTTTGTTTGCTTAATGACATATTAGGCTAACTTGTATTTCAGCGAATTATCGTTAAGGTTTGTAAGGGATATGGCGTAGATTTAGACATCTTACATATAAGTCTTAGCTCATTGTTTCCTGAAATATGAACGTTCGAAATTATGCAAGTATTTAATATTAGGTCTTTGCAAACTTAAATGTACATGAAAGACTGACCATGGAAGGCAGGCGCTTAAATTTTTCGTATTCTTAAATAGCCTAATTTTTTTATGTTTTTAATGGGTTCAAACAGACTGAGTAGATTATTTCTCGGTTAGAGCAGGATGAATATTCTTTATTGAAGGAAATAATATTGCTTTTTGCAAATACACATCACCGTATCAACGCTACTATTTTGTTACGTTTTGTTCCAAAAATGTTGCATGTCTCTGGGGAGTTGCTTAATTGTTATGTCTTATGGAGTTGTATGGTTTGATTGTGTTTCATATAATTCTCAGTTTACTCCATGAACTTGCCAAGATTAAGAAACGGCAAAAGAGTTTGGGTGTTCTTAACAAGATTTCAGAACGTTGCAGAAGTTAGAAGAGCTTCACAATTCCGTTGTGACAGCATGCCCTAATTCAGAACTACGAACGATCCAATGACGACCCTTCGCGATGCAGTGGTCTCATGAAATAAGGAAACGTATTCGTGCTAGGAACACACGCGAATTTCCGACGAATGAATCTTGCTTGTATTTTGTAGATATAATAATACTTTGTTTCATAATAAACAATTTGTCAAGTGTCATTTATTTACTGGTAATAGTGCATGTTTCAGTCGGGCAAATCTTGATTAATATTTGATACGCCGATTTTTGCATATTTCAGACATCCAGAAATATCCTCCCGAATTTAAAGATTAATATCTCCGCGAATTTTTAAGTCGGAAATACAACTGTAATATATCAAAGTCTAAGTTAGTCCTTCCTCTATTTGATGCAAGTTATTTCTCTTTAAAAGCTATACTTGTTTAGATGTTATTACGAATCAAACAGGAGTACTTTTTTTTGGGCCACCCGGTATATAAACATCTTAGGTCTGTTTTCCACTGAGCGAATTTGTTTGCGCGAAGCGAAATTTCGACAATGTGATTGGTAAGCGAAGGTAAATCCTAAAGCCGAATTTTGTTCTTCGCTTCGCGCTACAAAATTGCTCAGTAGAAAATCGCCTTTACGTGGGTTTGGAGGAAAGTTGTGCGCTTCCCCAGAGAAAGGTAAAATCCCCCAGAACAGCTGAAGTTAGAGACAAGATATTTTGACATATTAAATTGCATTGCCCCCTCTCTATCATATGTACCTGGGTGCACCCCTGTGAATATCCTTGCAGAAATAACCTTGTGCCATTCAATCATTAGTATAAATGTGTAGCATTGAACAAGAATAAAATATCTACTACTGTACCTAACATAACATCATCCACTGTGACAGGTTTGATTTCTGGATCAATGTCTAGAAAAGATGGATATCAGTTATCTAATTGTTCAAGGGATTTGTGTAGATGGAAATTATTATTATTACAATTATTTGGACATTTATATGCATAAAACGTTTTAGTAACTTGGACATTTCCCAAACCTTCATTGCAATTTCCAGGTCTCTTCATTTTAAGGAAGTCGACTTAGAGAGGACGGTAATATATGGGCGGTCCATGTCTAGTTTATTGTAATCGTTCCATGTTTCGCGCACCAATATAGTAAACGTTATGTAATGGATATTATAGTGTACTGAAAAGTTGACTAGATACCTCCATACACATATATACATACACTAACCCTAACCTTAAACCTAACCTAACCCCTAACCCTAATACCTAACCCCTAACCCTTACCTATATTGGTGCGCGAAACATGGAACGATAACCCAGTTTATATTAACTTTGGAAAGTGTAAAGATGGTTTGGAACACATTGATCGTGTGTTGTAATTTTGGATTGTAGCTTTGTTAAAGTTTGTAAACCGGTCTCTATTGTTTTACAATGTCAATGTAATGTGCAGGTAGGACCTACCTGCGATGTCGAGTGATGGTAGACAAGAGGTGTCTTGGGTAGCATTTTGACGGCTGGCAAGTTCAAAACCTGCAAAATAATTAATTAATATATTCTTGATCGGTCTGTTCCAAAAATTCAAGGAGAATTTCGATGTTTCGAGTGAAGGCCCTTCACTAAGTTGCCGACGAAGCGCCTTCGCTCGAAACGTCGAAGTTCTCCTTGTATTTTCCAGGAAGTTGCCTCCCTATACATCCGAAGCTTTTGTACAAGTATAGTGTTGGATGTATGACGAGATTGAAGATCATAGATACGGACCTTTTTCTCTGATCATAACTTTATCTTCATCGGATAACTTTGAAACCATTTTGTTGAGTTTTTCCGCCTCACGATGCGAAAGATTCTCTTCGTACTTTTCCTAGGAACAAACAGTAACATAGTGTGGCTCAGCAAAATCTTGCAAAACGTGAATATGTACCGCAGCTCGTGTAGAAAAAGAAAGTAATTACGACTTACTTCAGGACTCATGGTCATGTACAGTCGATGTGAATTTTGTTGAAAATTCTCAGCAACCTTATCCTGCAAGAACCGCTCAGATTTGATGGACTCCTAAATAAAACACGGGAAAATACATTAAATATCTTGACAGTTCCAACATGTTCCAAGTATATAGTCTATTAAGTGAACATACTCGGAATCGATCCACGTTCCTGTTAATTTGCATAAATTCCGTCGGATCACCGCCATGGTTCCAGGATGACATCAGGGACTACAAAAAATGAAAGTAACTTTATAAAGACTGGATTAACTATAATATCAGTTCTAATTGTCTTAGAAGTCCAGTTTATACAGGACTGGGCAAGGCCTTGAATTTTAGGTAAAGTCAAATTGAAAGCATTCTTCTTCGATTGAGGTGAATTTTAATCAGAGAATTCGAACTGCAAAGTTTGGGAAAGCAGCGGATGAGAAAATCATTTTGCGCTAACAACTAAAAGAACTTACAGCGATAAGACTCAATCCAAAATTACTGCTTTGATGTTTTTGTGATAACTGAATTCTGTGAAGAATCGCATCGATTCTCTCTTCTTCAAAACCAGTTCTAAATGAAGAAATATATTTTATACTTTAATATATTTTTAATCAATTAAAACATGCAAGTCAGATACCAGTTTCATGATACAACTCAGATTGAGTAACTGTGAATGTAACTGCAAACTTACTCGACAACGTTCTGAAACGTTTGTTGTACAATATTCCGAACATCTTCAACACGATCTTTATGAATACCTTGCAAGCCAACAGAAAATGAACTATCTCTTGTGCTAGAGTCAAAACTGAGAAAAGAAATTCATAATAAGTGACTTTTTATAATTAGAGTATGATTAAGGAACAGCTGGGAACACAGTGGTTGAGGGATGGATTTTTCATGATAAAGAAAAAAATATTAGAGGCAAAATGAGATACAGTAATTTGAGTAATAACATGATGATAAGCAAACTGTGAAGAACAATTACAATTCAAAAACAGTAGTCAAGCAAGACTTTGCAGTAGTCAAGCAAGTTGATGGGCAGGCGGCACACATGACCGACACAACTCGGCACCAGAGCTGGCAGAGCACCCCCCCCCCCAGGGGTTTTTACAAAATTCCTGCCTTTCATACTCATTGCTAAAGGATTTTGTAGATGGAAATTTCGAGTGTGGATTTTATACATTTATTAGACCTAACCAGGAGCGGTTGCAAAAAATGCAACTACAGGGTGTATAAAAAAAAAGGTAATCGAACTTCAGCGCGCTATTATACGCGAATCACTCGGCGTATGAACAATTGGTTTTCATATTCGGAAAGATCAAGCTTCCAGCTATTGCATGACATGCTTTTCATACCAAGTGGAGAAAAAATAAGCATGTACGAGGCCGATCAAAACTGTTGGTCAAAATATTTTCACATCTGCGCCTACTTAAAACAATGCATAACAAAAGAAAAAGCAATTAATCACGAACGTGTCGTAGCTTAGCTAAGACTTATTCCTACTTAATAATAATTATGAATATGTGCGTCGTTTATTGAAGTGAAATTCATCAACTTAAATACCAAAGGGGGTTCATTTTCAATGGTTTTAGACCCAACTCTCAACGGTGAAAATTTTTTATCGGATTCGTATTTGCTCATTTTTTATCCATTTGGCATGAAGAAGATATCATTCAACAGCTAAAAGAATGATCTTTCCGAATTTTGAAAAATATCGTTCATACGCATAGTAATTCAGATTCAATAGCGCGCTGAAGTTTCGATTACCTTTTTTTTATACACCCTGTATAGGACCTCTGGTAAGAATCAAACCTGTGATTCCGATGCAGCAAAATCCCAAATCCTGATATCCTTTCATACTCACCCTGTGGCTGGTGAATAATCAGATCCGATATTTGGTTCAATCAAAGCTTGATAAAATGGTGAGGTTGGTCCATCCACCAATAATGACGATATGATACTGTTTGTTAGACCTTCGAATGCATCAACGTCTCTGAAATATTTCAAAGCACTTTGAGAAGATTTTCCACAAGCAACTTATAGTGCAAATGAAACTTGATCGTCCTGAATGATCCTTACTGAGAAAGCTTCGCATTGATAGGAAAACAACTACCTGTAAAATACAAGGAGAACTTTCGACGTTTCGCGACGTAGGGGTGGGAAATGTCGAAGTTCTCCTTGTATTTTTCAGGTAGTTGTATCCCAATCGATCCGACGCTTTCTTATTGGCGCTACATTGGCACAGACCTTATCTTATCTGCAGTCTAAATGTCATTCATTATCAAACTGCAAACATCAACTTACCCGTCCAGTACGTAACTCACGCTGGTCGTTGTCTGTTTTTCAGGGTCAGGTGCCAAGGGATCTGGGGCACACGTTATGCTCACATTTCGCTACAAATATCACAAAGCAAGCACTTAAGATCCAACACACATCTACTATGATGCAATCATAAACGAAGCTAAACTAACTGTATTTATACTGGATAGCTCTATCAGTTCTGAACTGTTCTTCCTAGAGGTCCAGTAAGGATCATCTCTTATTGATCCAGTGTTACTACAGGAGGAAACCTAAACTAAACTAACTTTATTTATGCTGGATAGCTCTATCAGTTCTAAACTGTTCTTCCTAGAGGTCCAGTAAGGATCATCTCTTATTGATCCAGTGTTACTACAGAAGGAAAACTAAGCTACACTAACAGTATTGGTAACACTAACTGGATAGGTCTATCAGTTCTAAATTTTCCATCAAGGGCAATCCCTTATTTGTCCAGTTTTACTACAGAAGGAAACTGAAACTACACTGCATACTAATATTTTCATACTAGATATATTTACCAATTCTAATCTGTTCTTCTAATTCTAATCTTTACCAATCTTTTACTAATCTTAAAATAATTCTAATCTTCTAATTCAAATATTTTCCTCTCTTCTAATTTTAACTTCTAATTTTAATCTTCTAATTCTAATCTTCTACTTACATTTAATTAATTTCTTACACTGGATAGCTCGACGAAATTATTAAATTTTTATTTATTAAATATTAAATTATTACCGGATCTTTCCAGCGAGGTTCACGTGGGATATCTGTATCAACTTGTAGTTTATCAAAACGTGACAAACCAAGTTCTTCAATTGCCTCCAACTGATTTTCCAGTGGTACATCACCGTAAGTATAAAACCTGCAAATACAAATAATAAAGCTGCAAAAGTTTAATTTATTACTCCAGTAAAAACGAAGCCAAAATGAACATGTGTTGTGATTGGCTTCCATAAACAAAAGTAACCAGTGTAAATATCACAAAGCAAGTACCTATAGACCCATTGCACATGACGTCACAGCGCCGGTGACGATGCATCTGGAGGACAAATTAGCAATCTATTCATAATATAATTTTTGTAAACAAAACAAATTTTGTAAAAGTTTATAATAATTTTGTATTAAAATGGTTCATTTTTGCGCTGTATGTGGTTGTTGTAGCCGAACAGATATTGTTGGGGAGCATCTGGAGGACACTCTAAGGACTTGTAACGTCAGTGCAATGGGTCTATAAGATCCAGCACTACCCACAAACATAAACTATTATTCAATAGTTTCATTGGGTTTCATTGTTATAATCACCAATCACAGAACCTGTTCACATAGCGTCGTAATGACTCAAGGACAGTGTAAGTCCCGTAAGTGAACGTCCCATACCTTGCATTACTTGGATGATAGTGACTGGCATGAAACTGCTTCAAATGATCCCACTACAAAATCACAGAATGGAACAAAATACACTATACTATCACATTCGATGGATACAAAGATATATTTTCACAAACGATAATACGTACAACACGCATTTGTGCACGGTAGTGCAAGGGTACACTCTCTGAAAAATACGCACCACCTGTGGTATGCAACCTGTGGAAGACGAGTCAAAAGTTTAAGAGCCCTCTGATTAAAATGCAATGTCACTTACCGTCAAATCAGGAATATTGATGGGTTCTCCGCCACTGTTGTAGCCATATGTATGATGTGGAAGAAGCGAACTTTGTAGATTGCGAGCATACAGTTGCTCTGGATTCGACTAAATAATTTGAAGAAAAATTGCTGATAAAAACGTACATGTGTTGATAAAATTGAAGAAACCAAGGCTTTCAAAATAAGCTGGCGACCGCTGGAGTTCCGGCAAGTGCCACGAGGTTTACTACCGCCTACTTTGTTTACTTATAAATATCAATTCTGCTCTCCTTCCTCCACTCTGAGCTTTCAAACAAAATTATTTTTCCTCAACCTGGTCTACTTTATAGCCTGGTTGTTTTCCAAAACAACGTACTATTTCGTAAAACTGAGAATGAAAGTAGTAATACATTATAACCAATTTGGTTACAAAGCTCAGTTGTGTTGCTATCTAATCAATACACACTTATGTGTCTAGTTAATTTGGTTGACTGTAAAGCCCTTTCTCCACTAGGCGAATTTGTTCGCGCGAACAGTAAAAAAGTAGGAAATTTTTCGCTGACCAATCACATTGCCAAGATTTGTTTTTCGCTTCGCATCGCGCGAAAAAATTCGCCTAGTGGAGAACGGGCTTAAGACTCCCTAGATCGCTCCCCACAGTCGCCTACTTTATCAACACAGCCACCTATTCAGAATAATTCTGAAAGCCCTGACTGAAACGAGCCATGATTTTAGCGAAGTCTTACCATTGCGCCTTTCATTTCATTAAATACTACTCCTTTAAATGTCAAAGGTGATTGTGGGTCATTCACATCTTCATGTTCTAGCCTCCAGCCTTCTTGCCTAGATTTGAAAATACCTTATTTTCTTAATTTCTTGTTGGTACAATGTTACTACAGAAGGAAACCTACTCAGAGAAAACCCGCAAGGTTTGATTGAGTCAAACTGAAAGGTTTCTTCTTCTGGTCAAAAGAGGATGAGAGTTGGCAAGCAAGAGTATGCATGAGAGTTTTCTCAACTCTCATGCCCTCGTCAAACGGAAACAAGAATTACATGAGAGCACATGAGAGTTGACCCGATATTACCGGTTACGCCAACGAGCAAAAACTATCATCAACTCTCATCAAAATTTGAACCAGCTCAAATTTAATGAGAGTCGATGAGAGTTGACTGGATATTGCCGCGCGCGTAGCAAAAACTCTCATCAACTCTTATCAAAAGTTGAACGTTCAAACAGGAGCGAGAGTTGCATCCTTGAAATGGAAACATCAGTTCCAAAGTCAAACGAAAAACTCGGCAAAATTTTTACAGAACAGTATAGACAACACAGCAGACATAATTACCAGAAATCTAGCTCGGCAAGTCGAGGAAAGAAGACGGCATCGAGATAAACTGACAACAAGTTTTTGAAATCTTTAGGATTTTGAGTAGAGAATGGATACATGGTAAAATCACTCCCTGAAAATAAATTGAAAAGTTCAATCTTCGTGAAGAACTTCAATCATTCATCCATCCCCAAGATGGCGAAATTGACGTACAATAGCTATGAAGGTTGCAGTCAGTCTAAAGGCGGTTTCCTGTCCTCGCATGAAGCTCCTCGCAGCTCGCGGCGAGTGGTTGCATCTAATTAAAATGAACTGTTTAGCATTGTGATTGGATGAAAGTGCTCATGCATGCACTCGCAGCGAGCTGCGAGGAGCTTCGTGCGAGGACTGGAAATCCGCATTAACGCTAGTTTTAATCAATTTATCAGTTCATACAACCACAGTATTCTCTAAAGGGGATGGACTAGAGGCAGGTTTTCAAGATGGCCGCCAGTTTTTAAGATCTTGAAAACGTGAAAGAATCAACAACTACCACTTTCAACAATACTAAACCTTACCCTCACCCCACACCTAACCCCCACACTAACCCTAATACAAACGCAAACTCTTATTTCAATTTTGGAACCATCTCGTAAACTACCTCTCGTCCATCCCTTTTACACATTACCCTCTTTGCAAACTGCGCAGACAAAAGGAATAGAAAGGGACTGACGTCCAATTAGGGCCACAAGTTCATTAGTACTTCGTACTATTAAGTGTCACCCTCTTTAAATAAAGTCTCTATCTATCTATCTATCTATCTATCTATCTATCTATCTATCTATCTATCTATCTATCTATCTATCTATCAATCAATTAGCCATTCCGAAGTTGATGAGAGGACTGGGAACGAATGTTAAAAAGTGCCCAAATTAAGAAATGAACCAAAATCACTAAAAAGACCACCTCAAAATTAGTAAGTATACAAAGTTTGAAGACATTTACATGAATACCCTTTGAATAATAACCTTTCGAAAATCGCGATATTTACTATGAAATGTACTGTAATTTTTGTTTTTGGGGACGCGCGTCCCAAAAGCAATCTTTTAATCAGTAATTTCACAATTTTCGAAAGCTTATTATTCGAAAGGTATTCATGTAAACGTCTTCAAACTTTGTATACTTACTAATTTTGAGGTGGTCTTTTTAGTGATTTGGTTTATTTCTTAATTTGGGCACTTTTTAACACTCGTCCCCAGTCCACTCATCAACTTCGGAATGGCTAATAGCTCCATTTTTGGCTTCACTTTCCGGACTCGAGCTCTCACTCCAAATGTATATGGAGTTCAGTGGGTTTTACCTGTCCAGGCATTCATATAAGTTGACAGTGATCTTGTGAGCATGGAAAAGAACGGATCACGACAAGGAAATTTCTCTGAACCACATAATGTCGTATGTTCCAGTATGTGAGACACACCACTATCCTCCATTGGAGTTGTACGAAAACCAACACTAAAATGGCAATTTTACGGCGGATTTTCACTACACAACTTTTGCCGCCTAACACTGTCGCAGGCAACCTGCTTACAACTTGAGTTGTACTGGGTAAATCAAGCACACAACTTGCATATGTTGTCGTAAGTGAGTTGTGTCTTTGATTTAGACGTTACAACTCAAGTTGTAAGCAGGTTGCATGCAACAGTTTTGGGCGAAAGTTGTGTAGTGGAAATCCGCCTTAAGTGTTTTCATGTGACGTCATTGTAGCCATGTTATAGAGTTTGTTATCTGAAAATTTTGCTTCGATTTTTCCATCCAGAAAAGCGAAATTTCTGTATAGACGAGAATATCAGCTTAAATTCTTGGGGACGGACCATTAGAAAAGTGATGGGGGGGGGGGAAGTCCTCAAAAATTATTCCCAGAAAAAAATTAGGGGGAAAAAATCTTCCCAGGTATAGTGCAAAAAAAAATCCTTCCTTGGAAGATAGGCCTATAAATTTTAATAAAAAAAAAAATTTCCAGCCATCAAGTGAGAAAAAAATATATTTCTTCTATAGGTGTACAAAAAATATATATATTGCCTCTTAGAAAATCCCCCCCATCACTTTTCTAATGGTCCGTCCCTTATTCAGAAAGACATATAAAGAAGAATATTAAAACCGTTAAAATTTAACTTCATGTCCGCACCAGACTTCTCTCTGCCACTATTGTCGTATTGACTGTTTACCGAATTACCGCATGGTATATGATGGTATATTTGACCATTTATGTACATATATTCCATAAACCGGTGTATTTTATACCTCCAGATACAACTTCGCTCATGAACATACAACACCCCAAACATGCCTCTCAATTTCTCAAATTCAAATGCTATATATAATCGTGGCTATAAGGTATCCAAAAAACCGCCATATTTTATAGCAACAGAAATAAAGTATGACTGCAATTTGTCGCGGTCAAAAAATCTTTACAGAAATTCCCATCTTAAATATTAATTCTGCTATTAATTAATGGCATTCGTATTCTTTAAATTTATGGTAAAAATATACTTTGTACTTGCTATTAATTCTACGTTCTAATTTCGTAAATATGACAAATTTAAGCAAAATTTGATAAATTTATATCTGTTCTATACCTTGTCTTGTGCTATTTTTCGTTTCTTTCGTGTGTTGACTTCTATTTTCCAATGTCAAAGGAGTTTTAGCACTTTGAAAAAAGCTCCAATTTCAAGTTTTCAACAGCATTTTCCATGACCATTGGCAAATATTGCATGCATTTTTCCCACGTATTTTCCTTCGCTTTTTCGTTCGAAAAAGACGAATTTCGGCTGAAATTATCGTCGTAGTGTCATGAACATTCAAATAAAACTTGTTCTTCGCGTGTTTATTATCTTTTGAGCGCATTTTAAACACAATTTTGCTTGGAAAAAAACAGCCTTTCGTGTTCGGTTCAACTTCTTTGCCGGTTTTGGCGGGAAAAGTCGGAATGGTGGTCACAAACACTTCCTGTTGCTCAACAGCCAATCAAATCACAGTATCAAGATCCTACCACCATAAAAAATAGGTACGCACTGCGTACATGTGCCTAGCGTTTTAAGGGGGGGGGCCCTTTTAATAGTCTGTTCAATACAGCTAGAGTTCCTGGCCTTGGCAAAAATTCCTTGTTATACAAAATAAACAATTACTATGGAATGATTCACCAAAATTATATTATCTGAAAGTTCTACAATTTTTACTTACCTGAAGACATTATTTGAATCATCTCTAGCAATATGTAAGTGCTCAGCACCAGTTTTATTATGACGCAGTTTTACAGAAACTAAATATAGTTCTGGAACAGGGACAACCTGTTAACAAATATACACCAGCATCGATATACAAAGAACAAACCATACAACCAAAAAACAAAATTAGGCTTGATTTCTTGAATATGTACATAATACAGCTGCCTGGTTATAATTTCACCTCAAATGTATATGGGAGGATTGCCTCCAGTTTGAATAAACCAAACACTACATGACCCCCTCCCCTCCCCTAGTAACATTGGACCAATACAGTTGAACCCCCAGTGGCGGAAATTCACTTTTTCCGGTGGGGGGGGGGCAAAGTCTTCTAAATTTTCGACAAAACCTTCAAATTTCCGACAACCCCCCCCCCCTCTCCCATTTGCACTCAAAAAGGATGTTTTTAGCCCTCGTTTGGGTCAAAATTTCTGAAAATTCATCGATTTTCTGTGAAGTGAGCGGTCACCCGCCACACCGAGATTTCCGCCACTGTGAACCCTTAGCTATTAAACGAACACCTTTTGGACCTCACAAATGTGTCCTCTTAAGCCCCATTAACACAACGCTCAATTTTTGGTATGGCACAGATAAAAATGGTATATGTACCAAATTTATCTGTGCTTGGTCTGTAAATAGGTAGTCCAGGCACAGATAAAAATGGTAGGGGTACCAAAATTGAGGCGGTGTCCACTCAATAGGAGTAATAGTGTTTTATTAACATTATGAGCGCTTAAGAGAGGTGTCTGTTTGTAGGGGTTTGACTGCACTAAATCACATTCAATCAGTTTTGGGCAAAATAACATAGTTAAACCACAAGATACAACATTTCTGGCTTGAGTGAATTTTCTTGTATATCATCACATGTAACCATATTTAACCATGTATAAACTATACCTTTTCTATAGTATAACCTAGCAGTTGTTGCCCAGATTTAAATTCACCTAAGAATAGGTAATATGGTAAGCTTTAATAGTACTACACATTTCATTCTAAAGTCACAACAGTTCCATACTTCCATGAATTACTCACTAGCTTTTTGTAGTACAGTTGATTTTGCTTCTTGATTATACAAGTTGTTGGTAGTGGAAAAATACCTAACAAAATATTCAATTCATAGAATGTGTTTGTCACACAAGTATTTACTTAACATCTCAAACTTTTCCAAGAAAGTATGACCTTTAGAACAATGACAACCTCTACCACACTGACCTTCAACATCATTCATATATGACCTTCACCACAACATGTATAATGTTAAATTATGTCACCATGAGATTCTCTACACTACAGATTCTTTATTTAAAATTCCCGCCACTGATAGAATTAATGCTTTAAAAAAATCCCACTGTTTATATTAACACCAACAATATAAAGTAAAAATAATTTTATATTTGTCTACGAATAAAACTAATGCTACATTTGCTACACACACATAAACACAATATATTATTATTAATTAAAAGCACAGAACATACCTGGATCGACAGACCAAGTTAGCACGTCTTTGAAAAGCATTTATAGTTGATAAACTTCTTCGACAACACCACATTATGGCTAATATTATTCTAAATTAACTGTCTTGTACAAAAATATAATATTTGAAACAATTAAATAGGCAAGTTTTGCAAATTTAAACTTTTTATAATGACATTTTAGAACTTGCTGTATGTCTTGGACTTCGAAACGACGAAAATGTCTCGCACTCTTTGCATGCCGCAAAAATATTCGCAAATGTGGGAATCTTTATGCCTGCGTTAGAGTCATAGTTAGAGTCTGCGAATCAAAGACAAAAACCTTGTTTGGCAAAGATAGTTTTCTTTACAATCTTCGGTATGGAGATCCAGTTCTGACAAATTGTTGGTATAGGAAAATATCATATCGAAGCAGTTGCTGAAATAGAATGCATCAAAGTGTATTTTCATTGGTTAAAAATCAATTTATTTTTATCTTACAAACTATATTTACAGTAATAATATATTGTATGTTATGTTATGTGTATGCTATATACATCTATATTTACATGGCATGCGAAAATCGTGTACAACACTATTTTTACATGTAAAAAGCTCTGTTTAACGGAACAAATACAATACAAGTCAACTTCGTTTTTGATAAACCGTATCAACTAACGCATGTCTTAATCAATATGTCAATTGCTACTCAATTCAACTTTTAAGGTAACTCATATGCCTAGATTCCACTGCTGAGACAATTAAAAATTAAATGAATTGAATTGTTCAATTGAGGAGCAACTGCATAAACAAGCGTTATATACGAGATTAGGTCCAAACCTATTTGTTTAAAACTTGGTTTCTTCATGTACCTGCGCAGTTATGTCCTTCTATATGTGTGCCTACTCTTTTCCCCATTTCCGCAGATAAAAGGCGAAGAAGCCCCGTTGTATGTAATACAGTAATATATACCGTACTGTATTGATGCTACCTTCTGTTGAGAAGACCAGAGGTGTTTGTAGGAACTTTCTCATGAGCTGATCTTGTGCTTCCATAACGACTACTGCTTGCTGATGGCTGGATAAACTTTGACGAACTAGTCTAAAGAAAATGCATAAAAAATAAATTTTCCACTGCTGTCAATCATATTCTAATAATGTAGCACAGTCAACTCAGCATCTACAATTCATAACCTTTTTAACACGATTCTGCCCTCGAAACAAATATTTATCGACAGGTTTATACCAACCACACATGTCATACCTTGTTAGTCTGTATGTTGCCATTTCTAGGACTTTTCACAATTTTTCCAGCAAAAGCCTCTTGAACTGTAAGAGCATACGAAAAATTATAATTTAATAATACAAATTGAATTAAATACAATGAATATAAATATTTAATATAGACGTTTCACAAACCTTTCAACCGTTCATTGAGACGGTCTAGAGACTCCAATAGTCTTTTCTCTTCCATAGATAATGCAGTAGGTTCTACAAGACAGAGAAAGTAAAATTGGTTAGAGATCAGTAGATTTCAAGTAATCGATCCAATAGACCTTAACGATTATTCTCTTTTACCCAATCGTCTCGTTTTCATGTCAAATACTAACTCATGTTTTGTGTTGAGTAGGGTTGAAAATTACTTTGTTATTGAGCCTAAGAACAGCAAGAAACAAATTCGTCCAGGAAAACATGGGAATATAATCTTTATCTGCCCCTGACATGCATGCTAAAATAAGTTAACATGGAAACGAGGCCATTGGGTAAAAGAGAATCGGTAAGGTCTATTAAAATTAACTAACGCGTATTTGTGCCCATTGCAACCCAATTCACGGACATAATTTTTAATTTAATTTATAACATTTAAAAATGTTTGGATACCTTTGTTCCATTACATGCTCACATTATCATAACGTCATGTGAGTAATTTAAAAATGTGCATGGGTGGGGTACAAACGGGCATAAACATTCGTTAGCAGATTAAGTCTATTCATAACACACTGATTACAATTTATTTGCCCATCTTACCTTTTCTATAATTCATTATTATTGGTTGATGAACATTTTGGCGGGAATTCTTCTGAGTGTCGCCTTCGGTATTCCGAGTTTTAAGATCAGCGGACGCTTGCATAACTGCTTGAAATTCCGCATAAGAAAGCTGAGGTCGTCCCTCCGTCTTTACAGTGTTAGATTTCACCGGCCCCCGAGAACTCGTCATTGGTCCACGAAAAGAATGCAAATACTGTGGATTTACCGGGGGGCGCCCTGCTTGTGAGTTCCGAGAGGTTAACCTTCTTTCAGATGTGCTAGTGCGATGCTGAAGTAATGACCCTTTTCTTAGGGGCATATATCCAGCACTTTCAGCAGACCCCCGCCGCTGTAGACTATCCAATGAGCCTTGCCTACGGAAATGAGAACTAGCTGTGCCCCTAGAGTATCGCGTCTCGTTGTCAGAACCGCCACTTGGTCTCGATGCCCAAGCATTACCATCGATCAGATAATGGTTACCCACAAGTGGTCCAGAATCAGATCTCGAGTACCGAACATTGTTTACAACGGAATCCGAAGCCGCCTTTTGCGGTTGCTCGTGTTTCAAACATGTCCGCACTGTCTCCCAAAGATGGTTTATTTCCTCGTCGGTTGGAGTTTTATCGAGGAACGCAAGCCCCTCGCTGTTTTTCCGTTGCTTTCTTTCAAATGCGTTTGACTGGGGGTGTAAGCCTCTAGGCTCAGAGGGGACCCCGTATAAACGGTTATTGCTCTGGTATGCGGCTGAATGGTAGTCCGTCTTGTAATTGGGACTTGTGTATACTTGGTTAGGGTGGGCACTTTGCACACGACTATTGCTTGTGTATGTAGTATTTGTATTAGCCGTTGTTTCATGGTTATTGTTTTGTGTTGCCCCGTGCCCCATCTTAATCCCACTCCTTTGATTCGCAATTCCTGAATCAGAACCACTTCTTTGAAATCGTTTGTTGTTGCCATTTACTTTCCTTGCTTCTCCTAGTTTGGATTTTTGTCCATTAGAAGGTGGCTTTCTATTACTACCCTTTCGTTCACGGTCGATAGCTGTGGACTTGGGACTACCCTTGCTTTGGGAAGATGGTGACGTGTCACCCTTGTCGTAATCTTTCGGCCTACGACCGTTATCCGAGTAGTTACGATTGTGGCGACTTTCCGAAGTTGTCGTCTTGTAAGGTCGAGCACTAAAAGGTCCAGTTGGTTTCGCACCAGAACTGCTTGTCCTAGAGATTCCCTGTTGTGACGGAGTCATGCTTAAGCGCTCAATATTCTCTTGAACACTCTTAAGCAATTCATCAGCAGAGCTGGACTTTCTTGAAGCAAAATTTTGTTCCCCGTTGGTTAGTGTTGGCCTATAAGAAGGCTGGTTTACTGTATTTGTTGTCCCAAGTGTATTTTGAGCAGTCGTCAACTTCTCAGTGGGCTCTGTTCTTGACCTCGGAGGAATAACAGACGAGCTTTCACCAGTAGTCCTATTGGGTCTTGCTATTCCATGGTTGTCTCTTGACACAAGTTGATGTCCCTGGTTTAAGCTACTACCATAATATGGAATACCCTCACTTGTACTTGAAGACCCTGTGTTGTCCCTTACTCCGCGACTGTCTACTGCATGCCTTTGACTATAAGAATCATCATGTACTTTCTGCTTAGTTCTATCACTATTGTATGGTGAAGGTACCATATTGTCTCTCATCGCACTACTGTTTGGTACAGTTTGCCTTTGATTATAAGAATCATTCTCATATAAACTTTGTCCGGTTCTGTCAATTCCATTTTGAGTTAGCCTTTTATTTTCACTTTGCTCTGGTATAGTTTGTCTATTTTGGGGAACATCGCGTTCTTGACTGTACATACTATAACCACCAATCGACGCCTCTTGTTCAGTTCTGGGGAAAGACTTTCCTCCAGAATATCTGTTGGTGGTTGACTCAATTCTACCATCAACAGCCATTTCTTCTTTGCGTGGATGGTTTCTTGTATGATCTGATAAGCTGTTTATGTTTACATCAGAAACCCCTTTACCATCCGACCGTAGAGCTTTGGAGAGAAAATCTCTTTTCGTAACGGGAATAAGTGGTGTTTCAGGCGGTATTTCAGCATGTTTAGTAATATACCCTGAGGAGGGGTTCTCCGAGATAGGAGGACGGGTTCCGACTCTAGGGCCTTGAGCTTCAGTAGATACTTGGGGAATATTCGAGTTACTTTGACTGACCCTTATATCATCATGCATTTCAAGACTATCCTTCAACATGGATGCGTTTATGGAAGAAAATGGTAGAGATGGTCTATCATTATACTTCATATTACCATTATTATAACTGTGCGTATGATCAGAAATACCACCATTCACATAGGTTTTGCTTTTTACACCATTACTCAATTGTAATGGAGCACTACTATTCTGGGACCCAGTCATTTGGCTTGTGTAACCAACATAGCCTTTATTATTCACGCCCTCTGTGTTGCTGTCCATTTTCCTGGTGTTATCTTGCTCACTACCGTTATTTTTCGAAGTACTGCTTGCCTGGGAAGCTGTCATTTGGTTTGTATAACCGACATGCGACAGCCCATTAACTCTGGGTGAATTTGGCAACACATGAAGTGCATTAGCCTTCAGTTCAGGAGTAGTGACAGTAACAGTTGATGCCAGATTACCACCAGTTTGCCGGCTATTATTGCTTGCCATGGTTGCCATAGAATATCCACCAGGTTGCCTAAGATTGCTTGTGGCGGAGTACGTCATTACGCCTGTGGTACCTATATCTGATGCGTTCACATGAGGGTAATTTTGAGCGCTGCTCATCGGAATATTAGATTGCCTGGGTAGGTAGTGATTCATGATCAGACTATCCTTCGATAATTCCAAGCCAGTTCCATTGACCTTTGGCTTCGACTCATTCCCCTTACCCTCACTAAAGCTTGTATTACTATCAAACAGCTCGAAGTATGACCTCTGCTTCGGCATAATGGAAGAATCGAAGACAGATTCACTTCCCTGTTTTCGTTTCAAAGTCCCAACCACTCCATCACTAAATGCAACATTTTCGTTAAACGTAACTCGACTATCTCGTTTCACTTTATTGCCTTTTCGAATAATGCCCGCAATCGGGCTGCCAGTAGACGCAGGCATGGTTTCTAGCGGCTCGTCAGGCACCGTGTCAAGACTATCAATGCTAGACAGGCTCCCCGATAACGAATTTCGTCTTATGGTAGTAGGTAGAACGCCAGAGGTGACAGCCTCGTCAGTGAAAGCTAACTTGGGTTCAATACGGCCAACAACTTCACTTCGTAGTTTTTCCTGTTCGCGTTGCTCAGCGGCTATATCTGTAGGCTCAATGATGTCATCATGTCGATCACGTGGTTGGCTCTCACCGCTGATCACTCTTTCAATAACGTCAGCACGGTCAGCATGAAGCAAGGCCATGACTTCCTCGACGGAAGGGTAGTACGGTTTCCCATTGATGACTTTCGGCGCCTTGGCTGACACAGGACGAGTGTTATCGTGTTTAACTAAATAGTCAAAATTAAGAGTTAGAACGTTAGATTAAGCTGTCGTATTTGCGGTGTTTGAGCTACCTGATAAAGATTGGACAAACTTAAGCATATTTTCAGGTAGTTCAAAAACCAACCATGGTAGATTATAGGTTGTCAAACTAGACTGAATTCACTTATACACTAGATAGCTCTATAGCAGTGCTCTCTAAACTATTGTTATTTATGGTGTAGATGTCCACAAAGGTAAGCCATTGTTGGTCCAGTGAGTATCCAGATTCCAGAACAAATCTGCAGTGTTTGGTAGAATCATGCAAACTGGACTGAACGATTCTTCCCGCATTGAATTGACACAAAATATAACCTGTATACTTGATTTACCTGTTTTAGTAGGTGTTGAAGTGCGCTCAGTATGTTTTATTTTCTTTCTATTTCTTGTGAAGTTTGAACGTTGAAATTTTTCTGTAGCTTCTTGAATCTCCTTCTTACGTTGTGCCAAGATTTCCCGTCGTTTTCTCTCCTCACCCGCCTCATAATTCTTGCGTCTTTCTTCCAACGCTCTACAATATAAAGAAAAAGGTTAGTTTAGGTAACTTCCTGAAGCGACATTGGACCAATAAGACCTGGGTGAGCTTACTGGGAACAGATTAGAAATGATAGAGCTATCTAGTAGAAATAAAGTTAGTTTAGCTTAGGCTTTCCCCCAGTTCCGTTACAAGAGAAGGAACAGATTGGGAGACTTGGAGTAAGTCTAGTTTCCTCTTAGAAGTGCCAGAGCTATCCAAAGCTAGTTCCTCACCGTCGTCTTCGGTTCGTATCTCGCGACAGCTCCTTAGTCTTCTCTAACTTTACATTAAATTCTTGTCTCTCTTCATCCTTGAGATTGTCAAGTTTCTTTTGGAACGCGGCACGGTATTTAGCACTGATGGATGACAGTTAAGAAACTTTATAGCTCTCTTTATAGATATGGCATTCTTAAGTTGCCGTAGGTTTTGTGTTAACTACTTGAAGAAGATGAAAACATTTCGACTGAAGGCACTTCGACGTTTTTATCAAAAACGGACGTCAAATTGCGGAGGGGGGACTGGATTAAAAACTGTATTTGTATAGTTTGTGGTAATCTTCAACACGTAAGACAAAACACAAGATTTTTAAAGATTTTTTTGCTTCCTTTTCTGTCTAAATTCCTGACTACGTTTACGGTTTCTTAAATCAAGCAGTCCAAACACGAGTCACGGCATATTGACTATTGTTATGCTCTAATTTTAATATAATAAATACAAAAATTATTGTCTATAATCAATAGTTTTTAGTTGTACCCAGCTTCAAAATTCAATTGTGGCTGCAATATATTGTAAGAATTAAACTATGTATCTGTCTGACAATTATCAAAAAATTTGCAAAAAACATATTGCTGTGATTTAAAAATCACAACGATTCTATCTAATGTGGTAATGAAGAATTTTTTATTACCTTTAATTCTTTCAAGATTATTGGTGATTATATGGCCAGATAATTAATATATAACAGCTATCGTTCAAAATACAATTCCTATCTGAGTAAATTTTAAATTCTGTAAATCATAAAAGCAGCATCTCAGACTAATGTTACTATGACAATGAGGCCACAAATACAAGACATTTTGATTAATTATTAAAACAAAACCACAACCAGTGGACACATGTAGCAAAATGTAAATGATATCACAAATTTTCAGAAAATATTTGTTCAATCAATGAGCCAATTAATACTAGAGATTGATGATCCACCAAAATGTATCATCCATTGGAACACTTCATCTGTCTGACTAGCCTGCATGGCACCTGGTCTTGGGGGAGGAAAGACAGGTGGGAGGTAAAGCGGGCCATCTTACCATAAACACAAAATTAACTATCCAGACAAACTAGTTAAAACAGGACAATCTACATTGCTAAGGGTTTTGGGTGCTTGATATTTTCCTGATAATGCATCAAAATACAATATTTAAACACATAGATGTTTCATCTGTCAGGACTAAACTACAGACATCTTGATGAATGATCTGTCAATGGACCTTTCACCTTTTGACTAAAATTTAGATCTCAACAAGTCTAGACAAAAATTTCATCACAGCTTGAAAGAGCATCACAAAATTAGTAATATTCCAAAGTTTCATTGCGAAATGTTGTAAAATGCGGATAATATAGCCTTGCGAAGTTTGCCATTTTCAGTCATTTTGTATTACGCGCGGGAAATACATACCTCCTTCGGAAAAAGGGTATGTATTTCCCGTTT